GAAAATATCTCCTTTGGGTTTCTCTGCCTGATGCCTCTTAATTTTTATTCTTAGGTTGGAGAAAAAAGATCTTTTGTTAGGCCATTTCACTTTTCCACTTCTGAAAGATAGAAGGGAGGGAAAAAGATATGAAGAATGGAAGAGAGAATGTTAGAATTGCAGAAATGGCATAAAGTCTTTCAGACACATAGGAAACGTTTATTTCTGGAATGTAATGTGAGCTTGATAAACATGTATTCAGTTAATCAATCAATAATGATTGATGTATGGATAAAAATGTGAAAGTGCCCTGGTACACACAATTTCAGACTACATATTACTTCATTCTGTCAGTAATCCAGAAACTGATGCTGCAAATGGGACAAATGCTAGAAACTCGAGATGACTCTCAGGGATTCATGTGGTCTACTCATAAGTCATATCAGAGATGTTCAGGATTGGGACAGTAAGAGAGAATCCTAAATTCTTCACTAAAGAACTCTTGATGGTTTCTCTTTCTTTCAGATATGGTAAAGATAAGGTCCATGGCTAGATTTTCAGGAAGTTATGAAGTACTTTTCTGAAAAGTTTCATCCACAGGCTTTATCCTCCTTCTAGGTATGCAGAAGATGAAAGATGATTACATTTTCTCTCTTCTTTTTTTTTTTAACAGTCTTCACATAGAGAGATGGTATAATATGTATTTGTATATATATGTGTGCATATATATATACATACACTTTCTTCTTGAACCTAGGTGGTCTAGGTGAGTGACCTTGTAAAAATGGTGTGATGGGGTATCTGATCTCCTCTAATTTCACAAGGCGGAAGGAGAATCAAGATCAATAGCCAAAGGCTGATTGCTATGAGGCAGAGGTCAGACATATGTCCTCTCTCCAACCTTTTTACCAATTCTGACACCATCCATCCCTCCCACAGCACTCTCTACTTCATTGCTGGGTTTGATAATTCGTTGCAATGGCCACACAGAAATCACAGACATTATGCACGATTATGGGGTTTATTAGGGAAATAACAGGGTATGACTCGGGATCAGAAACAACCCGGATACAGTTTGTTATGGCTTGAACTGTGTCCCCCAAAGTGTGTCAACGTGACTAGGCCGTAATTCCCACTATTGTGTGATTGTCCACCATTTTGTCATCTGTTGTGATTTTCCTAAGTGTTGTAAATCCTACCTCTATGATGTTAATGAGGCAGGATTAGAGGCAGTTATGTTAATGAGGCAGGACTCAATCTACAAGATTAGGTTGTATCTGGAGTCAATCTCTTTTGAGATATAAAACAGAGACGTGAGCAGAGAGCCAGGAGGATCACCTGCCACCAAGTGGTGGCGCTAAAGAGCTTTGGAACTCTTTAGCTCTCTCACTAGCTGTGCCACAGGCAGGCTTCTCTCTGGCCCTCAGCCTCTTGGCCTTTTGACCTCACTTCTGCCCTGCTTGAGCAAGTGTTACAAAGCCTCTAGCTCTGTGGGATGGCAGGCCCCACTACAGCCATCTCCCACTAGTCTTCTGGTTCCAGTTATCTCACAGTGCTATTGTTCTTGCTACCGCTGTGCCACAGTGTCTTTCTGCCTACCGTGTTACAGCTTCTTGTCTCTCTCTGTCTGCTGGGCCTAGGAGGTTCTCAGAGCAGGGATCCCAGGACCAAAGAATATGCTCCACTCCTAGCTCTTCTTTCTTGATGCTAATGAGGTCCTCCCCTATTCCCTCACTGTTCCATCTCTGGGATGGCTCATTTTAAGCCTAGAGGGATGGTAAAATTGACCAATCCCCTTGTTAGGGTTCCATATACCTTATTTGCATGGTCTCACCCCCCACAAGTATTCCATGCACCTTATTTGAATTATTAGCAAGCTATCCAATCCTCTTGGTGGACAACAAGCACCTCATTTGTATTCCTACGTAGTCATATGTTGGGAGTTACAAGATCATGGTAAGAAAGGCCATATAAAAGTGATCCATTGCAACACAGACCTCTCTGACCAATAGATTATAACAGAAGTAATGCATTATCAGTTTTTAAGCCCCATTCTCTAGAGTCTTCCATCTTCTATTTACCTTCCTTGGGACATCCATTCTTTTATTTTTAACAAGTGTACCAAACTAATGTAAGATGTTAATAATAAAGGAAACTGTGTACAAGAGGAAAGGTTGTATAAGGGAAATCTCAGTACACTCTGCTCAGTTTTTTATAGGCCTAAAACCTCTCCAAAAACCAAAGTCTATTAGCCCATCAACCCCAGCTGAGCACACAGCCAACAGTCAACTTACCAGCCACAAAGCTGAGCAATCTTGGAAGTGGATCCTATAGCTCCAGTTGAGCAACTCTATCTGACCCCTGTCCTAGGGTAAAATCGCTACAAATTTATTGCAAAGCAAAAAGAAAGATTTTATTCTGCATATGTTCAAAGAGACAAAAGTGGGAAATGGACAAGCATGCTCACAGAATCATGTCTGCCCAAGTCCAAGGAATGTTGCAGAATAGGCAACAGTGGGAAACAGACAAGAATGCTGCAGAACTATGTCTGTCCAAGTCCAAAGAATCTAACAAAATCATCAGTATATATTAACATTACAAATGAGTAAAATCATTGAAAGTCTCACTTTTTCA